CCCCCTGCTGAGTAAAAACAATTCAAATGAATCCCTGTGACTACTAGGGGCACACACACACACATCACATCTGGGACGGTATACCCTGGCCTGTCCCATGTCCACAGGCCTGATCTCAAAAAAAACAACTTTTAAAGACAGCTTGGTCCCCTTGGTGCTTTTTTGGATGAACTGAACGTGCCAAGAAGCAGATTGATGCACCAAGATCTGTAGGTGTTTCTCCGCGTTGATCCACAACGCCAAGTCCTCCTTCTCGGTGACATAGATCCCTCCTTAGTTCGGTGATGGTTCAGTGAGGGCGCCCCTTGGACTTCCCTTTCATGGGACTGGCATGGGCTGGCAGCCTGTGGTTGAAAAGGGCATGGGACTGGCATGGACTACTATCATCTACCGTATTATACCCACATTGGTGTGGTTGAAAAGGGCGGCAGTCAAACCAGGGCGGCATATATCTTCCATTCCCATTTTCAGTGTCTGGGATATGATATCCCCATGAACAAAGCCTTGGACATCATTGAATCGAGTTGGTTGCCACATCTGAGTCATGGGTGTCCTTCTGCTTCAGGACATGTGCCCAGCTTCAACCAAATGCAACCAAATGGACCAACAGCCTCACCAATGAGGGAATTGCACAGGTCGATTTGCGCCGTGAGACCCGATTCTCGGACGTTTGTTAGGTATCACTTGGTCAACAAGGCTGCAGCAATGCAGCACTTTGGGAATTCTGAGAACCATTGAATCCTATGGGATGCCTCCTGCGGAGAGAGAGATGGAAGGAGAGCACTCTTCGGGGGAATCACCATGCCTAGGACCCCAGGAATCCAAATACCTCCTGAGATGGGATTGTTCAGAGAACGCGCTCGAAGAGCCCTCCAAGTACCTTCGTTTTGGAGGCGGGACTGAGGTTGAACGGTCCAACCCTCGGAGAAATGTACTTGCAAGCCCCTCGGGGCACTGTACCCTCGGGCTCCTGTCCCACCCTCTCAGAAGGTAGGGACAACAGCCCCACAAAACCAACCATCCTAACGACCCAGCCTTTTTCGGATGTGGGACAGGAGCCCGAAGGGCCAATTAAACCATGGTGGAGAATCCTTCGCTCGGTCCTTCGCTCATCGTCGCGACAGAACGCGCGTGGCGAGACCGAGGGCCGTGCAACGACCTGCGGCGCCCCATACGGTGGAGCCAGAGCAGATGGCACCATCCCCCAAAGGTGGTTGATATAGGAACCTCATATCGAAAAGCTCTTGGGGGTGGTGCCGGTGCCACCTACTCTGAAACCACTGTCACTTCGGCTGAAGAAGCTCTCGGCTTCTTCAATCAAGGCTCGGCCGGCGATGTCCTTGGCCTCAAACAACAACTTCTTCGAGCCCAGCGAGTCCTTCTCGGAGGCGCTCAAGCCTCCTCAGGGCCAAGGGTGTTTAAGGTGCACTAGAAGCCCTGTCAACAGGAGGATTGCTTGGTGGGTGGTATTGGTTGAAAGCCTCTTAGTTGAGGGGAGGTCGAGGGGGTAATGCCTTGTAGGATCTTGTAGGTACATTCACACATGCATGGTTCAAATGGTTTGGGTCTACTTGTCGCACCGGTGCTGCTCCTGGCTTCAGTGGGTGTGATCCAAGCGCATAGTAGTCCTAGGCAGGTCGGATGGCAGGTCCGAAGCCACGAAACGACCTACCATCTGAAGAAAAGATTCGCCCGAGAAGTGACCGAAGGAAACTGGAAGAAGATCTTTCCCGGATCCAGCTGTACCTTCTCAGGTTCCGTACGACTGGAACCTCCTGGCACCTATATAACAGTGTTGAACACATCACCTTTTGAGAAGGTACTTGGATCCATAGGATTTGTTTGGCCCCAAACTCCCGCACCATTCAGTTCAGGCTGCCTGTCACCTGAGGTTTCCTGATCACTTCCAAGCCCCTGCTCTAAAAGAATCTCTCAGGGCACATGGGCGCGTTTTGGTCTGAACAAGACTTACTAAGTGGCAACAATCTGATTGATCATCAAGCGGGTTCTCCATGGGCTCTGTGGCACTGATATCAATCTGATTGATCAAAACTAATTCACAAACCGGAAAAAAAAAACTCTAAGACTCTAAGCTTGCTCCTATGAACATCACCTGGATGAACGTCACCTGTTACAAGAAAGTAGCTGGGACTCAGCTGGGATCAGCCTCAATTCGTTCATGGCATGGTGTCTATGTTTCGACACTTGGTCCAAAAAATCTGATGTTGTTCAATTACAGTCGGACCACTCAACGTACATAAAACCCTCAAACTTTATCTTCCAGCTATCCAAAACCTTTGCTCGCCAATAATGGTCTCGATATTTGCACAGGTGGGTAGCCTGGATAATTAATTGACTTAAGATGGGTGCACCTGGGCACACCACCCACAAAGAATTCTTGCATCTCTCCCCTCCATTTCTGCAACACCTTGAGGAAGCAACTTCTTGGACAAACGGGGGTCAAAACCGTCCTCCCTCATCAGCTCCCCATCGCGCCATCCCGCCATCAGCCCATTCCGACCAGTCCGATGCCCGTCGGACACCCCCGGTAGGCCCCGAAAAGGTGTCGGTGATGGTTTAGCCATGAAGCTTCAGTCCCTACAAATCCACATACCCTCTAGGAAGGTGATTGGAGACAAGTTATCCAGTTATACGATGTAGGTTTGGAGGGTCCAAGTACCTTCTGAGAAGGTCCTTGGATTCCTAGGGTTGACCAGCAGCACGACCAGCTTCTATTCTATGTGATTCCTTTATTTGTCCCAGGTTTACTGGTGCACTGCTCCGCGCGAGCGCTGCCTCGGTCACGGCCGATTCAGGTTGGGTGCCCCGAGCCCCTTGCAGCTCACCATCCATTTCCAGCAAGGCCTTGGTCAAGAGCCGTTCCACTTCACCTCGGTGACCGGTCCAGCGCCGGCTTGCGTTGGACGTTCCCCTGTCCTTAGAGGTGTTGGATTTTGGAGATGGGCACACACATAGATTATACTTTCATATGTTAATATCGTCAAGCACATATTGTATAAATACAGTGCTGGGGAGCTCTGGCTCTTCTCGGCCGCTGTGCTCCTTGAAGAAATCTCCTAGATGGGCAGCTCAATAACGGTTGCAAACACCCTGAAATGAGGCGTGAACTTTCGCTGAACATCGCCTTCCATGGGCTTGAGGCCTTGTGTCATCTTGTGTCGATCATTGATCTCTTCAATTCTTTGGTTTCCTGTTCCTCCGGAGAGCCAGGGCTCCGCGGCGGTCATGCGCTGGCTAGTCGTCACAGGACCGATCTCACAACCTGACCGCCTCCTCTTGCGATCTCTTTTCAGTGGTCGCAGGGCAGGCTGCATAGACTCTACTGTAGCTCCATTGGACAATGCCCCTTCATTGGTACTCTCAATTCACATGGTTTCCCATTCTCCGAATTCAGTGTGTTCGTTTCGGTTGCCGATGGATCCAACACCGCAGAGGTCCAGTCCAGTCCGTCCGCAGCCGTCGACTGACTCTGGGCAGGGATTGAGGGCGGAACGCACGCCGAACCCGCGTGACATGGGAAAGGGTTCTGGTTGGACCCTCTATATCAAGTTCCAAAGGGTCCAGGGCCATGTCACATCGGATCTCCTCTGCACCCCGAGAAAATAAGACAAATTCGGAAGTACTCACTCACCTTCCTTTGGCCATCCGAAAAAGGTGATTGGAATATACTATGGAAGTATCTGGGAAATGTCCAAATTCTCGACTCTCGACTCTACTCTTGAACTGATTCCAGTTGCCAAGCGCAGCGCAGGTTCCCCCCGTTTCGGGGTCAATTCGGTGTCTCCGCTGTCGAGGTGCAGCACTCAATGGAGGTGTGGCCCAAGCCCTTCAAGTTGAAACTGCTGTTGGGTGCGGAAACCCAACTTCCAGCCTGGCGACATGTGAAGGCCTTGGAGACCTGTCTTAAATTGACTCTATCTCCATGTGTCGCAGATACCAAGATTCAAACATCTGCAGCCGAACATGTGCAGCACCCCGACCGGGAAGGCCCAGCATTCCATTGGTCTATCCGAGTTCTCAGGATTCCTCTCTCCGGTTAATGGATATTATATTATATATTCTATACGTATGAAATATTCAGATATATCCAAAGCTGGTGTGAGTAGTGAAAACTATATACTGGACTCAAAAATGTGTTTTATTTGTTGTTGAGTTTGTCTTTACCATGATATTGGGCATGTTTTCCGAAAGACCACAGCATGGGGCCAGCGTTGGTGGGGTCATCAGTCGATGGTTCCAGAATCCATGCGTCTGGATAAAACAACGATTTGATGCATGTAAACTAGTAGACTCCGAGTAACTAACATGGAAGTGGACAATGCCTGCTTGTAGATTTGTCATCCAAGGGGCCATGTTTCACTTCCATGATGAATTTCCAGGGAGTGTTTGCACAAGCTGGTCCCACCTCTTCTTCTTTCACCAATCAAACAAAGGTCCGTGAACACCGTTCTTCTTTTGACGGCGGAGGTGTTCAGCCATCTGGTCACCCAAAAACATCACTGCCCGGGGGGACCTACAAATGGCATATTACATTTTGTAGGTCCCCCCTTATTCACCCCCCTTTTGAAGAGGTTTAACATGGTTTCACATGGTGTTCAATGGTTTTCATAGCCTTTCTGGGGGAGGTGATCCAAAAAACGACACGACGAGACTGGGCAGGAAACAACACCTGATGAGTTCGTCACCGAGTTCCGTTTTCCTCGGTGGGGTGGAGACTCGTTTTCGCATCCAGGTGGACTCCTTCCGAGCCGGAAATCCCTGCCACCATCAAGCCACCCTGGCCTTCAAGCTATTAAAAGAAAGGTTGACCTGGTGTTGCAGTCAAAAGTACTTCTATATTAAATGGTTAAAACAATAGTTGTTGGACTCCCAGGGAATCTACACCCGGACACACAGATATGGATACGTGGGGTGGGTATTTGGGAAGGTGACTGGGATGTCTTGCCCTGAAAACTGGGATGTCTTGCCTCAACTGGGATGTCTTGCCCTTGAACGCTCCATTGAAGTGTTGAATTTTGCTCAAAGCGCTGAAGAAAGGTCTCACCCGTCACCCGAAACAGGGGCACATATAGAAAGAAACAAAAGAACATCATCTGAGAATGAGTTGTGAGGAGAGTTTCGTATGCTCTTTACAAATAACAAAGTTGATAGAAGCTACTGGCACCACTTGTCGTGCCTCAATATACCTCAATGCATCTATTTTTTGGCTGCCTTCCCTGGCAGAAAACCATTAACAGAGCGGACTGCGCACTGTCCTCCCGATCGAACTCAAAATTACGGTTGTAGTTATCATATTCCCGTAACAATCCATGTATGGAACTGTTATCTACACTGACCCTTATAGCACCTTAAGATCACCAAAATGTAGGCAAAAGTTCCAGTCCCATGGATTGTTAAGGATCGCATTCGATCTGGAGATCCAAAAACAGAATTCCGGTTGACATGCATGGATTTGCTGTCCAGGAAGCTTGGAAAGAAAACAAACAATTTCCCCAGGTTTGGGCATTCACCCAGTTCATGAACGGTATATGAATATAATACATATATCTGTGTATGGGTGGGTCAACAAAAGAACCAAGGGGCCAAACACAAGTCGAAACTATGGACTGTTCTGTAGGTGTTCAAAAGAGATGAGTGAGTACCCCATGTTTTTTTGTTTCAGAATTTCTGTCTGACATGCTTTGCGAAAATGATTGGATCGCAGCAAAACCCCTCCAGCTGTTCAGCATAGGAGGTATGTCCAGAAATCGATCCCATGCATCCCATTGCATGGGATCTGGGTCAAGTCTGCCGCCCATCTTCTAGAATGGTGCTTCCAAAAACAATGCTGAAAATAACTTCTCCAAAATCACAGCTGCACAGCTAGTGGAAATGACGATTCCGGCCGTTCTCCCTCTGAAACTTGGTCCTGGTCACCAGGCACTGCAAAAAGAGCCACTTCCTATCGTCCATGTCCTGCAACGTGACATGTATGCACCGAGTGGTTCCACCACCCCCAATGGTCTCCATGGTTCCACCACCCCCGAATTGGGAGGGTCCGGTGGGTCGATTTGGGGTGCCACAAGCCGCGCCGTCCAGCTCCACGGAAGTTCTGTGCCTCATTGGACTCCTGGTCACGGGGAGGGAACCAATTGAAGCACCACAAAATTGGAGTACCCCTTCTGTAATTGACATTTAGATCATCTGGGATAAAGAACTATATGTGACTATATACCCAATCCTTCTGCCTACGGATTTGAGACCCCAGACCACTCCGTTTGAGGGTCTCGACACTCCATATATGAGGGTCCAGCTGCGTCTGGGTGGGACAGCATCTTCCAGTTACTGGCATTCTCCCACCCTCCTGCCTCATTGCCAAGCCAATCACCAACTCCCTAAGTTTTTCACGCGCTCTGACAACGCGCACACCCGCAGTCTCCTGATCCTTGCGGGGCATCAACCAGGTTCCCACTGATGGCCTGGCTTAGCGATGTCATCACTCTGTCGTCCTTCCCCAATACAAAATAATACCATTCTCAAAGCGCTTCGTTGAAATGCAAGAACACTTGTCAATCGAAAGGCACCACTACTCAGAAACGAACACACCCTCAACTCAAGCCGAAGGATTTACTGTCCGAAAAAATAATACAGCTACATTTACTATTTACTACTACTACTACTACTACTACTACTACTACTACTACTACTACTACTACTACTACTACTACTACTACTACTACTACTACTACTACTACTATGGACCCTCTTCTTGGCCACACTTCAAAGAGAATGATTCCAGCCGGGCAAATTCATGCAAATTCTATGTTTAGGGTTTAGAGGTTACAGGTCCGATGCATAATATATCGTTTGAGGTTCCGAGTCGGATGGATCACAGTTCGGATGGCCAAGGGTCGGCTGTGTAGAGGATCCATCCAAAACAGCAAAGTGAGCAACACAACCAACAGCAGGCTGGTTCCCAATTATGGGGTCTTCATTGCTCAGCTATATATAATCATAACCCCAGGAACCTTGGCCCACCATTCTTTCAATGGTCTTTACCAAACAGGTCAACCTTTCTTTTGATTGTCTTTGGAATATACGGATCTTGGCTTCTATCTTCCCTTCTCACCACGCTGCGCCTCAACGCAAAGGGGACAGGCGCGTCCTCCAACGAGCAGCGGTCAATGACTTGCGACTGTGTGTATCAAGTGGCTTGAACAATTTGGAGACCAGGAACGGATGCTTTATGGACTCTTCCCACCACGTACCTGGCCGGAAAACGGGTTTGTTTCCGCCTCTCCCTGCCCATAGAAAGGACGTGTGGTTGCCAGAATGAGAAGGAAAACATCCGCATAGCCGGAAAAGCACTGGGCTGAGAACACATTATTTCCAGATCAGCACGAGGACAGCAAATTGAGTAGGACAAAGTAACGCCAACTCAAACTCTGTGATATTCGCGATGGGTCTAAACCTCACAACCAAAACATGGAAGGTTGACATCCCTGGCGACGTCGCTTCTCCCTTCTTGGGTCAACCGGTTGGTCTCCGGGTGACTCAAGAAACGCCGGCCGGCTGCTCCGGGCTGCCCACCTGTGCCACAGGCTGCACTTCGTTGAAGTCGTCCTCAAAAGGAAGTCACTCAAACAAATCAGGAATTCCCTGCTAAGCACGAGATTCGCTCGTAGGTTGGAGGCCATCGCTCCTAGGGTGGAGGCCATCGCTCTTAGGTTGGAGGCCATCGCTCTTAGGGTGGAGGCCATCGCTAGTAGGATGAAGGCCATCGCTCTTGGGTTGCTTTTGGTTTACGAGATTCCCTAGCTCAATATCCACACACTCTTTTTTAGCGTCCCTCCACATCTCATCTACGTACATCGCGAGCGAGATCACTCTGCTGGAAAGAGCTGCCCAGACCAATGCCAGGGTATGTGTCTTCAAGTTCCAGGACCTTCAAAGTAATCTCTGAGTTTCCTGGAGTTTCTAGGTGACCTTTTACAGGCCTGGGACTGGTGACCTCATTTCTGGGATCTGGAAGACACTTGAAGACTCAAGGCTGGACCAAAGGGATGTCAGAAACAACCCACGACCTCCCTGAACCATCTTGTCCTGGATTTCCTTCAGTCACCAAATAAAGAATGTCTTCCTCGGGATTTCCCGGATGCCGTATTTGGCGGTTGCTGGTCATCCACGACCCAAATACACCCGACTACATACTCATGTAACGACCCTGGTGGCAGTCTATCCTCCCCGACGAAAGAAAACAGAAAGCAATCTCGAAGCCAACTCCTTCTTGGGCGGGTCATTCTGCCTGCCCTTGCATGCGCGCATGCGTGGCAACGGTAAAACAGAAGTGAGTCATAAGGGGCATCGAAGGCAAGACATACAGTGGAGCAATTGGTATATCTGAAAAATATTGATAAATCATCGCCAAAGAATTGAAAGCTGTGCCTGTGATCAAACATGGTCTACACACCCTTTTCAAAAAGGTGATCGGGATGATTTGGAATGTTTTGATGGTTGACTGGGAGCGTTCCACTATCTGAGAACATCTCTGGAACCGAAATTGACCCCGCGTTTCGACCACCACAACTAGACAAATACAGTGGTTTCAGAGTAGATGGCACAATCCCCCAAAGGTGATTTATATAGACCCCAACCAAAAATACATCTTGGGGGTTGTGCCATCTAGTCTGAAACCACTGTATTCCCCATTCAGTCTGATACTTGCATCTGCTTGCCAGCTGCTTGCCAGCGGTTGAACCTCTACCTCCGAACTCGCCCGGGCAGGGGGGGCGACTCCGAGTCCTCCAATCCTCATGTGGTTCCGGAAGAACCCTGGACCAATGGATAGCAACGGATTCCAAAGGCCAACCCTGATCTCAGTAGATCTTGATGCTGAACCGCTGCATCTTCCATGAGGCCATGGCTACCCGCCTTGAAAACCATGCCAAAAAACCGTTCTACGATTCCAAGGGATGGGATTAGACCCGGACCCAACTTTTCTAGCCTCCGAGAAAATGGAACATGACCCAGTAAAACAGGTGCAGGACTCATGCTTCCTTGGAGGTACCTGGAGTCGACCTGTTCGCAGCTCGGAAAATAAGTACTGTTTCTAAGGTATGAACTAGAGGGTCCAACTATATAGGTCATCCTTCAAACTTTGTTTCCGCCTGCCCATGGGGTGACAAATCAGGATACTCTGCTGGGTCACTTCTGGATGTTGAATGTTTTCGAATGCCAGGACAGCCACGGAGCCACGCCCCTCTCATGTTGAATTTGCTGCTCTACCAGACCAGAAGTTGATTCCTGATCCATTTTTGACCAAACAACAACGCCGCATACTGAACCTGTATGGGTTGTTCGTGGACACCCTCAAACTACCAATCAAAGAAATCCACGCTCCAATGGGCGGCCGGCCGCTCGGACTTGAAGTTGGTAATCACGGCACGAAAAGGAGAAACCAAGCGTGAGAAAACGGATGAACACTCTAACCCCAACAAACGTGGTGGAAGGTCTGGTCTCGGATTGGGTGTTTCACGGGTCTGGCGCTAGAAATCAGAAGGGTCTGGTCTCGGAACGATACACCGCACTGTCCTTGTGATCCACCTCTTCACCAAGACAAAAGGACCCCCACCATCGGGCGCCGGCCCGTGCACGGCCCGGCCTCCGGCGCAGGTTTGGTCTCCTGAAGCATGGACCGATGTGGGGGTATCTCTGTCGTGAGGGCTGGCGGAGGTTCTTTTCACCAAAAACACGAGAAGTGGACATGCACTTTGCGGTTCTCGTTCCTCATCTCCAGACTTCAAGGAAAAGCTGTGGAGGATTGTTTCTCGATTTCGGAGTTGAACATAGGCAGGGTTTGTTCACCTTGCAAACCCACAAATGGAAACACTGTGCAAAAACCACACGCCATGGACACCAGGAAGTATTACCCATGACTACCCAATGAGCAATGGAAACTCTTGCCTAAGCTTTTCTGCGAGCCATCACGAAGGACCATGAGAAATCAACCAATCAAACGAGAACATCCATATTAATGTGTATAATATATATATATATGTAAACTATGTATAATGTATACTAGATCCATTTCGCAAGCATGCTGCTATTGCTCAAATCACGGCCAAGGGTTTGTGTTCTAATCATTGCAATCATATGTCATGTCCGGCTCTTTTTGCAAGGATGCACTTTTATATCTTTTATTGAGCATGGCAACATACAAGTAGTACTATCTTCCAAGCACCCAAACAAAACATTGACCCAACAGAATGATCATGTTGACAACCTCCTGTCCTTCCCCGGACAATCCTTAAGTATTCCTTCAAACAAATCAAGCACCACCTCTTTTCACCCTCTTTCCAGTCACAAATCACGCTCCTTGGGAGGGCCCTGTTTGGTCTCTGCCGATGGCGCCTGCGCGGAAAACAAAGAGACAGCATGGGCCTGAACTATTGTTACTTTGGTACAATAATTGCCACCCTTTTGGCCTTTGGTGTTTCCTACCGTTTGGTGTTTTCTACCAGTTTGGGTCAATAGTAAGCATACTCTTGTATAGTGCTGTGGTCGGGGCAGTTGTTTTCAGTTGACCCACTGCGTCCTTCGCACCTACTTGGGCGTCCTGATCATAAGAAAACTGTACACTGCGGAATATGCCTTGTGTCAAAGGGATAGGCAACCTGACATCTTCCATGTCTTCTGGAGTTTCCACCAGTACAACAGCCATATGCCTCAAAAATGGAATGCAAAAACTCTGATCCATGTCAGGTAACTGCACTTTCAGGACCTTTCAGATTTCCTGAGGATACTTACACCTTCTGGCAGGCTTCGCCTTGGACGCAGTAAACGTGTTCTTCATGTTTGGGCCTTTAATTCGGACGCCTCGTCCTCGGAATAGCTGAATGGTTTCATGCACAAACTTGTCTGTACCAAAGTGTCCAAACATTCAAGCCCCTGAATGTTAATATCAATCAAACAATTTAAATTCAATAACAAATTGAATTTCACAAATTATACCATAAAACTAGAAAAACAACTCCCAAGTATGTTGAATACAAAATGCCATTGAACATATGAATGTATACGGAAAACATATTTTACTAAACGGAATTGTCGGGACATTAACTGCTAGAAATGAAAACAAAACATACATTCATAAACTGCACAAACTGCTAAAAGGGCTTACATAATAGACACCAAAGTCGACTTTTCGCGACAAGCGCAAGGGATCGGAGTGGTTTTACTTCCAAGTGCAGATTCCGTGGCAAATCAACACTTTGGACATGGATATTCTGATCTTGTCCAACATCATTGGCTGTCCCAGGTCAGTCATCTCGCAGGACGAACTCATGATCAGGAGGAAGCGCCAAAACACTTTGCTTTCTGGGAAGTTCGCGGACCCGTGCACACTCGAACATTATAGAATTCCCGCTCCCTGTTCCTGGCGGCTGGTCCGCTAAGCATGTTTTCAAGTGCCATCTGTGTGTGTGCGTGCACAAGTTGTTCCTCTTTGTTGGCATGGTTTTATACAGGGTAGTTGACATAAAGCCACTTTTTTCCATGTGCCATCTACATGCAGTATATAAAGCACTTCCATGGCTCCACAGTTCTGGGGAAAAGGTCATCAAACAAGGTATTGTGTGACCAATGTGAAGCAACGTCTCATTCATCTACATGTCTTGACACACTCTGACATTGGTTTTCAGTTAACTCAATTCCCAAGCCGAGAAAAAGGTGAGGGAAACGCAAGGTGAGTGAGTCGGCGACAACAGTATGGTTGAACATTGTTCTCAAGTGGCCTTGAAATCGATCTGTACAGTCGGTGCGGTGACGAGCTCAGCTGCAGGAAAGTGGGTTTAGGGGAGGAAGCGTATAAGGACCATGAAACAAACCGATCAAATTGGACAGCTTGATCAAAAGTTCACGTTGCAGGTACGTCAGCAAGCGTCCTTGCTGATATCAGCACATCCTGAAGAGCCTCTTTGTTAGATGCCCTCTCTTCAGGTGTGGGGCATCCGAATGCCGAAGTGGAAGCGGTCTCAGTTCTGGCCATGGATCCTTCACTCACCTTCTCGAGCGGTGGAGGATTTCTCAAAAGATCCTCCATTTGCATAGAAGATCCCTTTGGCATTGATTCGCCTTCCCTTGCAAACTGAGGCAGCCTCTGCATTCTCTCGAGTTCCTCCTTCATCCCTCCTACCCCAGGATTTTGCTTGGTGGTCTTCTTCTCAGCCTCCATCATGGCCTCTGCCTTCCTCTTTCTGAGCTCCTGGAATTCTCGCATGTAGGCTGGAACCTCATCTGCGACCAAGCCTTCGTCTCCTGGGAGGACTGGTTCCAATTGGACTATTGGATCCTCTTCCGTAACCCTCCTGAGTGCTCCGGAAATCAGCTTCACAGCCGCCTCTGCCTTGATGTCGGATGTTGTAAACTCCAACACAGCTGGGTCTGCTAAGGTGCTCAAGGTTGCGCTATCCGGTGCCAGGAATTGATCCAACTCCTTCCGCCCAGCTCCTTTTGCCCCGATGATGGCGCCTTTCGCCCTTGAGGGGAAAGAAATCCTCTGTTTGTGTCTTGCTCCTGGACACGAGGCGGTGCGCTGCCCAAGCCCGCTGCAAACATGTTGTCTGGCAATGCACTATCCGCCGTTTTTCCTTTCCCCTTGGGAGCACCGGCAAGTACCCACATGGGGACTTTCACCTCCGGTGAGCAGTACAGCGACGAATTGAGAGACGGGAAAAACACGTCTCCGCGCACGCCGAGCAGGTAGGGACTCAACTCGACTGTCTCTATACCGACCGGCTCACAGACTGTCCTGAAGGCTTTTCTCAAGCGGTCGAAGTTTCGCGCTTCGGGCAAAATTTCTGACCAGGGCTCTTGGCCAGCAGCCGGAGATGTGTGAAAGGTATGAGTCGGGCAAAACAGTCTTGCTACCAAGGCCCCAAAGATGTAGCGAGAGTTCGCATTTGCGAAGCATTGCGAACATAGAGGTCACCATTCGCGACGTTAACTTTCTGGACCTGTAAGCGAGAAAGGGTCTTGCGGAGTTGCGAGTCTTTCTCGACCGCCCGCAGGTCTGCGGAGATCCTACCTCCCCTGCACAACGCCATCTCGAGAGGAAACAGCTGCGGAAAACGATGAATTCCAACGGATCGAGAAGTCAAACACAAGAAACCTCCTCATCCTGAGGTCTTGGCTCTTAACACTGTGGTGTCCTTGACTCAATGGGAATAGTTGTAGAATACACACGCACACACGTCAGTTGTTCAATATGGTTCAATATTCAGGCGCCGGCAGCTTTCGAGTCTAGACGCGCTGCCTTGTTTTCGCCAACCAATGGTGCCGGTTCGCCACCTCACTTTATCGCCATATCCGCTGGGTCAACCCAGATGCTCCCATCCGCCTCAGGCACAAACGTCCCGCCAGACCTGAGTCAGCCGGTCGTCGCCATTGTGTTTCGCCATTGTGAGCTGTGATATTTTCAGGTGAAGCAAACGCCCACTGCCAAGGGTGATACATCTGCCTCATCTTGCCAATGGAAATGCGCAACCATATACACAAGCGGGTTCCCATACAACTATTTATGGCTTGTTGTATCTTGTTCTGCACCTGTAGAACAACAGCTGTAACTTACGAATGTATTCAGCAGGGGGTAAGGCGAGGGAGAACCACACAAGGCCAGGCAGCTCTTTGATTCAACTATCCAACTCATCTTCACCAAAGAGCCAAAATTGCCAGTACCAAAGACAAAAAATGAACAACCCACATCCACAAACTACAGAACTGGGAGACCAAGGGGTCCATCCCAGCCTTTGCTCTTTCCCCATCAAACAGGCTTGTGGTAGAAGGATTTTGGAGCATACTCACCGTATCATCGCCATAGGGCGCTGGAGGGCAACGCCCAGTGCCTGGACAGTCCAATGACACACACAGAGTGTGACACCATTATTGCTTCAGAAAGCACAATGAGAAAACACAACCAAACAAGGAGAAATGACAAACATTATACAGTAATAACTACTAACATCAAAATAAATAACACCATGACACATGACATTACACTTTACGACACAGATGGCAAACATGACAACAAACAACACACATAATATCAACACAAAAACAACACTTGACAATACATCAGGTCTTTGATGGAAGCTCCGACTCGGTGTCACCCGCCGGCACCGAGTCAACAGCAGAACAAAAACTTTACTTCGAGTGACCCCCAACATGACACTTCAACCATTTGATTTCATGCCATGGTGAGGAGCATGTTGCCATGGCCGTGAGTTTTGTGGTTCTTGATATTGCTTGTGGGTCCTCTGGTTTGGGATTGCTATTTTAGTGTTAGGGAGTTCGCGTCGGGGTGTCGCCAGGGCCGCCAGGGTCTCCAGTTGGCATCCAAACGTGCTACCATGTGACCACCTGATTGTGTGTTGTGCTTGTGGTTTATGTGTGTTGTGGTCGTGTGTTTGTGGTTGTGTTTTTGTTTGTGTGTTTGTGGCTGTGTGTGTGATTTTGTGTTTGTGCTTGTGTGCTTGTCATTGTGTGTTTGCAGTTGTGTTTGTGGTTGCGTGTGGTTTTGTACTGTGGTTGTGTGCTTGTGGTTGTGTTTCTGTGGTTGTGTGTTTGTGAGTGTGTTCATGGTTTGTCTGCTTGTGGTTGTGCTTTGTGGTCCGGTCGTGCTCACTGCGATCTGGCACTTTCTGTTGAGGTCCGGTAGTCAAAAGAGAGGAGAAGGAGCTCTGATCAAATCTAACAACCCTCACCTGGCAGGTGGGAACAAAAACGGAACGCCCAGTGGCAAGAACTTGCACATGAACTCGATGGGGTCCTCTGGCTTCATCCTGAACGACCCGGAGTCGGCGACACGGGCGATTCCGGTCAGGTCGGTGATCTATCTGACCAGTTGTTTGATGTAGAACCAGATTCAGTGTCGTGCCTGGGAAAATAGAGGTTAACCGTTTTTCGCCATGGAATGCCTTGCTGGTCACCACCCTGGGCATCCGGGATCGAAACAAATCAATCCCAGGATCGGTTTTTGAGGTGAAACCAATCGGGATCGGTTTTGTTCCATCTCGGATGCTCAGGGGATGCTTTGCCAAAACACTGTAGCCAAATGGCCTGCCATCCCGTGAACCCCATCAGAGTCGCATGGTGCTCTTGGGGGTGTCGAAACAAAAAGCACATCGGACGCTCAGGTGCAGGTCCAAAAATGACAATAGTATCCTGGCATTTGGTAGTTGAGGGGAGTTTGACCTGTTTCTATTAACCAACACATCTAGAAGGCAGAAACCTGTAAGACATGGATTGAAATGGGTCAATGGGTTCTGTTCGTTTCACTGAAGTCATCCTCTGAACGAACGTGATCGCTACAAACAACACGCAACCACCTGAAGGATCGATGTTGATCGTCTCAGCGGGGGTCTGCAGGTTTCGAAGATGTCGTTTTTCACCTCTCTCTGACAGCCTGCAGCCTGCATGACGTCTCTGGGTGTCTTGGGAGTCTCCATTCAAGTGAGGTCTCACCCCATAGTGATCTCATACCTTCAGTGGGTTGTACATGGCTACGGGTGAAACTGGGAGACCTTGGTTGGTTGGACTACTTGGGATGTCCACCAAACAGAGGTAAGACTCGCTCAAGAGTGCACCGTTCGCAAACTACACACCCCTTGCAACACATGTTGCTATCGGTGTAAATAAGGCCACCACCCGGTGCGCCACCAGGCCACCACCAATAGCCGGACAAAGCGGATTGGCTTTTGAGGAGCACATTGATCAGTGTTCGAGGCCCTCGGCATCACCAGTCTCTGCCTAAAGCAAACTACCAGTATAGTGGTACCAATCCTCTGACTGGCTGTCTGCCATGCAACTTGTGCTTGCTGAAAAGGCTTTGCATCCATCTAGCTCCAATCTGCACGTAGAGCTAAAGCAAAGTAGCCTTGAGGATATCCGTGTCACTGACCTCATTCATTCTCACATGAAAGTCCTGTGTGTATTGCATTGCATTGCCGTTCTGCGGCCATCTCAGGAGTGACCAACCTGAATTCACAGCAGCTCCATGTTTTGACCCACACCCACATGTGTGTACCCAGGTGCCTGTATCACCCCTGCAAGATCGGATTTGGCTCAAATCAAAAAAGAAGTTCTTAACCAACTTACAAACCACGACTTGGGAAGACTGAGCCAGGTGTCCCTTTGGATGTCCACTCCCGATAACTCACATGGACCCGGGTCGAATGGGACCCGGTGCACGGTTTTCCTCTACAAGCACATGCAGTGGTTTCGCCAGGGTCCACGTGAGTTGTTTTTCCAGTGTGCCCCATGTCTGCAACTGAACATCCGCGCTGTATCTTCCTTCCTAGACCACGCTACTGATTTGCATCCGCAGCGAGCTGCGGCACCGGCACCGTCCACGCAGCTGAAAAACCAACTCCACGCCTGAGGACCGTCCGCAAGCACTCGGTCAACTTCTGCTCGATGCCGTGCTTCGACAAGTATCCCACGGCAGCATCCTGGGTCCGTGGAATCTCTGCCACGCCACGAAGACGACCCCGACGACCGGCCATGTCCAACACGGCCATGTCCTTTCTGACCAACACATGGTTACGTGGAGTAAGTTCACCCCCTGTTGGTAGAGGAAAGTCGTCTTCCAAGGGACCATGCCATCCACTTCCGTGTTAGTGAGTCAGAGTCAGAGGCGAATACGCATGTCCAATGTACAAACCAAAGGTATCTTTGCTTTTCGCAGGTTTACAGCCTCAAGCCATGACCTGGGGTACACTGAGGCCGCAACCCAGTGGTGAGTTTCAGGAAACCCTACCTGACGTCTTCAACATGCTTCCCTATCTTCCCTTGAATACGGGGAGGCAACGGAAGTTCCCATATCTTCACATGCCCGTTCCCAACATCTACAAATGAGAGGCATCCGCAGGCATCTTCTGATCTATCACCCCCACTTGCATCATCACCCAACGCTGTATGGATGATCACTCCAGTCGACCCGTCCGACAGAAAACACCCAGTTCTCCAGCACCCCCTGGATGCCAATACATCATAGTCTTCCCCCCCAACATGAAATTGGAGCAGCAACTGTTTCTGATGCAAGGCTTGGCGTCTCAGTTCTACGTGGACACGGCCTTTTCGAGACGGACTGACACGGCGTGGCGCCATGCCCGCGCCTTCGTTTCAGCCTCAATCTCCTGACGTTGCTTCTGGGCTTCTTCCGGCTTCCTAGGACCCGTCGCAGAAGGGGCCGACTCGGGCGACCAGTTTTGTTATTTTCTACGGGGAAAACGACGATGCAACACGGGAGAAAGACGAGCAGACGGTTCGTTGAAGAAATCTTGACTGCTTTGAATGTGTTGTGTGTTTTCTGTTGGAGTCTCCATGACCATTGAATGACCAGCTGATACCAGATGTGCTTTGGAAGATTGGCTTATACTGTCGTGGACAAATCAAACTCCAGCAATATCAAACTTCCAATCAAAGCTTCCAATCAAACAAAGCTTCCAATCAAACTCCAGCAATACCGAACCTCAGGGGGTTGTTGGAACTGCGCTCCGTTCAGCACAAGTGTCACCTCCTTGCTGGCAGTGCTGACCTTGGAGGCGCGTGTTTGGCTGGCTCGCACGGCTGGCTCGCACATGTGGGTTCTCATATGTCTGCAGGTTCTCCAGTGTTTGCGATCAAGCCCTATAGATGTGTATACAGCTCAGGATTCCAGAGCATGAACGTCACTTGTTTGGGGAAGTCAACATGCATGTTTGCACCTCAAACACACCTAGTGCAGCTAGGATTGATGAATGAACATTGTTTGTTTTTGGTGGCAGCTGTGCTATGCAAGCCACCTGGTCCACATGCAGAGGCTGTTTGACCTTTTGCACTTTTGATGGTATAAGTTGTGCTCAGAGCATTGGAATTGGGAGTTGCCTCAACTTGCGGAGATCCTTCACATCATCAACTAAGAAAAACAGTCATGCAGAAGCACCTCAACTCTGTTGCTGTTCAGCTACTGGAGTGTACAACAAATCCAGCCATACTCTCCAAGTCTGAGAACGATGAAAGGTCAGAACGCCGTCTAGCCGTCACCAGAGACGAGGTCAGCCCTCGGATTTTTAGCCATCAAGGGGGGCTGCATGGCCCTGCATGGCCAGTGTTTTAGGCAGATAAAATGATGCATTACTACCAACATCCCTGGGATACTGGGCCATACTGAGCATCAGTAAAACGCTATAGAGAATTCACAGGCCCCCAATCTGTGGGGTCTGGCCAACATCCTGGAACACTGGAACATCAGGAAAGCTACTATTCTGTATACTTCTAAGTTGCTTACCATGTTTGTTCTGGAACTTGGTTGTATAACACCCTCGGTGACGTCGGGGACCCCCACGCGCAACTTCACCACTTCGGAGTTGGGGTCGGAGCCAATCACACTCACCTGGCGTCACCAGAAGTCGGCGCCACAAGAAGTTGGACTTCGGAATCCCTTCTTGAACAAGGTAGGGTGTTAGCTGTTGGTTCTGGTTTTGGGAAGCCTTGGGAGTTAAAAAAAGGGGGCAGGACTGGGTCAGACTTGGGCACAGTGGAATATCGGTGTATTTGGGACCACTGCAACTGACCAAGATTATGTCAGGGACAGGTTCTACTATAAGAGTTCTATTTCCGTTGGAATCCTTTGAGGCTTCAATCTACCATCCCTCAAGTATGCTTCCGTGGAAAAACCTTCCTGTAGGAACAAGGTCTTCCTTCAGCCATGACATCGAAGCCAGCTTGCCCAACAGATCAAGGGGTATAGAATAATCATGGTTACGTGGATATTATGGCCCCAATTTCGGATGAGCATCAAATCCTCATACCAAACCAAGTGGTTTTCCACTTCCGGAGTGTATGGCTGCTCTGGTGGGCGGGTGCACACCACTTGGTCGCAATGGCTCTCAGCCCAGCCCAAACAAACCGCTTCGATCGGTGTTGGCCAACCGAAGGTCCTGAACTGTGGTCGTTCGAAGGACAAAGAACGAAAGAACCCAGCAGGTCCAGTTACAACGATGTCGCTGGTACCCAATGGTCCAATGGTTCCGAAGACTAAAACCGAATATGGAACCCTGGTCCTTTCATGAGTAGCAGCTGGGATGCACTGGGATTGCTTTGAGCAAAGTTAGCTTTACAAAGCCCTTGACTCCTGATAGAAGTACAAGCCAGACGTCGTCTAATCGGAATCGGGGGAGCCACAATCACCTGTGGTCTGTGGTTGGCCGATCTCGCGGTCCCCAAGCATCCGTTGACAGGGGAATCCCTCTTAGAGTACTATCTTAGAGCTATACAGTAAGTCACACTCTTCTCCAAAGCAATCTTGAAATCATTTGAACTATCTTGAATATGGTCCCATTCATATCATGGGGGGATGCCAGCTTTAGTATTTAGGGATTTGGCATCAAAGCTCCTGTCTGTCTGAACACACATGTAATGCAAAGACCGGACTAATAACCCCCCCCGTCTAGAAAGTCTGAGGTACCATTCATGAGGTCCACTCCCCCTGAATAATGTGCTAGAGAGATGAGCAGCATGAGGTGAGAGCTGCTGAATGAGCAGCATGAGTTGATAGTTGATGATTTGATTGATAAACCTCCCCTAGTTAATCCATTCATGAAATAGTTCAACAAGATGTCAACAAAAAAGTAAAAAAATAAGGGTTGTGTGGGCTCGAATTGACTTTGCGGGGGTTCCGATACCCAACTAAGGGATTAGGGGGGAAATAAGCCACCAATACTACTTTCACTTCGGGCAATTTTGGAGACTTTGTGGCTTGGATTAACTAGGGGAGGTATATTAATCCTATAAGTTTGCATTACTCTGCAAGCCTGCAGAGTTGCTCTCAAACAAATCATAACATTTAGGCCGTCTATAGCCATAGACTCCAAGCAGGTTTATTGTTTACATTTATCCCGTTTCTACCACACTCATGTAGGGTTTCATATGTTGCCATACATGGAGCGTCTGAGATGGGTAGTTCTATGGGCAATCAATCAATCGTTCTAAGTCTAAGTGCGTGACACGGATAGATAATGAATGGTAAAGGGACAAAGAGACTATATAAATGACTACCCAAAGGTGACCCTGAACCCGAACCAACTGCTACATGTTGCTTCGGTCCATTTCACCCAGACCGCTCACTGAGGGTCCAAAAGCTGCAGCCCTCAGTGAGAGCTGAGGGTCCGGATCCTCTGGGTATGAAACTCATCTTCGCCACATATCTTCGGCATGCCCAGCATGCCAAGAACACCTCAGGGGCCCCCGGGGTACCTCATGTGTTTTCTGACTCAACAAACAGGACCCGGAAGACGACTCTGGAAGAACCGTCACCGTGAACCGGAACTTCCGTAACCGTCACCGTCTGACAACGAAACGAAACCCACATCGACAACGATCAAATTAAAAGTGCGGGGGAAAACGACTCTCACTCATTGACTTTAATCAACTCATCGAAACAAGTCACCACATGCTATTCATATCATAGACAGAAAGGTCTATCCTCAAATCCTTGATGTGGCGACGACCGTCCACGCCGTTGTTTCGCCTCCGTGGTCTCAGGCGTGGCCTCGAGACGTGCGCACAACGAGTCGGGCGTCCAGGGCGAAGGTGGCGTGTGGCACGAACCCGAAGGGGTACAGAAATCAACTTAAGATCACACGTGTTTTGCGGTGTTCGTAGCTGAATATAAAATCATATAAACTCATACAGCCGAATAGCTTCATTCTATTGTTGTATTGCAGTTCTGTGTGTACAACAATGATCTTGTTTGAGTACTGTAGTTTGTTTGATACAAGATATGTAGGGCAGTTCATTCCTGCCCGTTTTGGTGGTTGCAACAAACAGTTGTTCGACTCCAGACTCCCCAGACTCCCCTACTTGGCAACAAGCGAAACGGATCCAAACGGTTGGGTTGTCACTCCAAACTGTTGGGCTGATCAGCAGGTAGAACATGTCCTTTCACCCAGAGTGCCCTGGAGTCCCTGGAGTCTCCTTTCGCCAAGCTTCAAAAAGAAACAAACTATTATATAATATACCCAGACCATCCATTAAGATATGTATGCAAGTACTTAATTAGGGTCATTATATAATGGGGTAGTTAAGTGCATATCACTATTCCATACATGGACGGTCTGAATAGAGTAACTAGACTATAGACTGTGACACTCACGAATTAATTGATGCGCACCAAACGAATGTCAAGTTGATCTCTTGCATTGACTGATCAACCCCACCACTTCACCCCACTTCCGCGGCGAACCAGGTCCCCCACTTCTGCTTCCCATCTCCGCATGATATGCGAGCTCCGCGCGGCTTCCGTGATCGATCGGCGCGGTCGATCGGCTCTTCGCAGCTGAGGGGCTGGATCCACCGGGACCGAGCAGGTCCCCACCAACTGATAAACATCGAGGCGAGCCTTGGCCTTCTCCTGAGAGGTCGGAGTTTTCGAGTTGGGGAGTGTTCCTTTTCGAGTCTAGGATTCAATCGAATCCGTGTTATTGTTTATTTTCTTTGGTGGCTGGTTGAACATTCTGGACAAGAGCCACGGTGCATCATGTTCAAAACAAATATATCTCGACTGATGGTGGATGATGAATAGCGATAATCTGTAGCCAGAATAAATCCTCAAAGCTCTTTCAATGTGGAGAGGTATGAGCTCACCTACAAAGCCTGCCAACTGGAAAAATCTGTATATTGACCTTCCAAACCACCCGAAAAGTGAGTAGTAGTTCCTACTTGGAGGCTGTAGGAGCTGCCAACCTGGTGACCGCACCAACATCGGCCTTGCGCCTGTACCCATCGGCGACCCGTTCGGCCCAGAACAGGTCCAGACTCTGAGCCGCTCAAATTAAAGCGATCACCGTTGGTTGGGATCGCGGTTCAACTAAGGGACGATAGAATCAATTCAACCAGAAACAGTTCTGGGATGTTCCAATTACTGTATACATATATATATATACATATGGCAAGTAGGGATCCTTTACATAGCAACTGGGTGTTTGGGGAAACATCAATGAAACACCATTTGTTTAATTTTACTTCAATCATCTTCAATCTGGTTGGGACTGGGGCAGCAAACCAATTCTTTGTTTCCAACCGTTCCGTGCCCAACCCTTTCCTCCCTCCAAGAACGGATCCCCGGGACCGTCTCCACCGGTCTCCACCGTCTCGTCATGCTCCTCGGGCACCGGGAAGTTGTAGGTGGCCGAGGACTTGTTGAAGCGACGCCTAACAAGGCCGCGGGGGAGGCGAGGTGAGGGACTGGGACCGGACGGACCGGGGCCTGTGGCACCTGGAAGAAAAAGAAGGTGCTTCGTTTTCAGGAAAGCAGTGCTCTTGGCGTGGTGGATTGGACCCAAGGTTTTGGACATGAACAGAACATGTATTGTTACTGTATTCTCAACAGGATACCCTTCGGGATGTTAGATAACATGGGAGACTTTAAGGGTCACCCAGAGTTGTCAATACCTTCTGATCGGCCAATTCTGCGGAGGGGAGAATTCTGCCACAAACTGAACGCATCAGTCCACTTCTGTGTTTCCCACTTTGACTGCACCAAAACCAACTTTGTTTGCAATATTATATTATAAAATTGGGCCGGGAAAACCAAGCACCCATGGCAAGCAAACCTCAACCTCTGTTATGACATTTGTCTAACCCTAAGCATAAAAACAACATCCTGTACCTTCTGTGGCTTCAGTTCCAGATCCGCAACCCCCAGCAAAAAAACATCTCACTCTCCACATCCTCTATCCAGCTAGTGACTTACACCCACTACCATCCATCCAACCCAGCCCCCCTCTCTCTTGTCTTCTCGTCCCGCTTCGTCCACCGCTTCCCACCGCTTCCTCCTCCGCTTCAAACACCGCTGAGGCGCTGCTTGAGGTGCTCGCCGATGCGCACAGCCACGAAGCAGCCGTGGGGCACCTCGCTGGCGGCCTGGACCACCACCTCCATGGGCTGTGCCTGGACCGGCTCGTGGAGGGACCCAGCCGGCACGACCCGGGCACGAAAACCGAGAAGATCGGGAGGGGAGTAGTTCAGAGTGGAGGCAATTCCCTGTAACTGTGCAAGATAGCAGCTGTTTGATGCAGTGTCTCTTCAATTCTTTATCTATTCATGTCATTCGCAGAAAACGTCATCCGGCTTACGCCTTTGCACCTGCAAGCCGCGACAAATGTGGCAACACATGCTTAAGGGAATCGTGATATCCCCTTTGTGTCGCAGGGGCGTTTGTCCTCTCATCCACTGCTTGACGTAGAGTGGGTACAGCACTTGAGCTGCTTGGGCAGGCGTATGTCGGAAAAGATCACTGATCAGACCATCTTCTCCCGGGGCCTTGCCCTTCTTGAGCATGTGGATGGCCGTCTCGATATCGAGGAGTGTGGGCATGGCCATTGATAGATGATGGTCAGAAGATCCATCTGAGGTTGTCCTCTGGAAGTCCATGAGGTGTTGATCCCACGGTTTGATCTCTGCCAGCTCTATTTTGCTCCAATGTGCCAACCACGCAGCCTCCCACTCTTCCTGCGTCTGGACAGGGCCATGCTCACCTTGCAAGAGGGGAAGCGGCTTGGGTGTCTTGATCCGCTTCCTAGTGTTTGCAGGCCTGAAACACCTCAATGCTTGCCATATAGAGCTTTGGCTGCTTTGGTTTCAGCACACACTTTGACCTCGTCAATCTGATGGATCAAATAGTCACTTTTAGCCCGATTGCGCTGAACTACAAATTGTTGATGCAGTTGGCGCAATTGTTCTCTCAAGAGCTCCTCATAGAGTCGAGCCAACTGGTCATCAATGTGCTGCTGTGACTGGTACTTTTTCATCATGTGGAATGTGGGCGATCTTGGGACCTCTCATGCACCGCCGTCCTGGAGCTGTCTGGCTTGCTTGCGCAGCTTCTTCTATTGGTTCTTCTTCTGCGACGCCTCTGTTATGCAGGTCCCGTCTCTATCGATCACGGGTGATCAACGAAATGTTCTGCAGAATCGGATTCACCTATATATAGGGGAAAAATCTCCCTAAACATCCCTAAACAAAACCAGGTTCAAAAGCCTCAATGGACATGGTGAATCACAATGGACCTTTTCTGAAGCCACGGATGAAGTGGTAACGATGAAGCCAGAACAATGGCAAGGAGTTGGCCCATGATTCCTCCGATGCCTTGTACCCAACAACTTCACAACTTGGTTGGACCAAACCAGCATGTAACAGTTGGTTCGGGTCCAGGGTCACCTCTGGGTAGAACATGTTTCACCATTCTTTGGAGTCCGGTGCTCCCGTCTGACATGCGTCCCACTCACGTATACTCATGGTCCGTCTGTCTTGGAGGTCAGACCGGACTTACTTTCCTGGTGGGTTCCTTCAAGTCCACCGAAACCAACTGCGGCAGGATATGTAAATTGTAAGACGTCGGCTTGTTGACTCGTCTCACCAGTCGACCTGTGCAACTGATGATCCACTGGAGGCTGTTCACAGTCCAAGCACCCCAGCCAGATCCCAGCAGTTATATCTCAAGACCTGCACCCCTCTTCCCACAAGTCTTATGGTACAAGCCACTAGAATCTAGAAGTCGAGAAGGGGTCACAGGCTATCTCTTGAGCCAGCGGCTTGAAGCGACTCAGGGTTGTCAGGTGGCTCAGTCAATGTGTAGGAAGTATAGACATATACACCACCCAGGAGTTCCAAAGGGGTGCCACTTGGGGACTAAACACCATTCCTTTGGAACTGTTGGACTGGTTTTTCATATTGCAGTAGTTGGGTTTAAACTAGCAGCAACTAGCATGTTCTCAAACCAAGGAGGCATTCTCCCCACCTATGTTACTGACCAACAGCGCAACCCACAGGCTTTAGGAGCTTGAGCGAAATTTGTCGAACGCTTTCGCCCGACGTTTGGAGTGTGAGCATTCTTCCCGCTGCGTCAGCAAAGTGACCCAACTCGGTCGACTTGCTCGGAAAAAGGAGAACTACAACTCCCTAGGGATCCAGTGGTGCCTTCTCGGAAGGTACGACTGGACCCTCTAAACCTACATAACAGTGTCTCCAATCACTGTACCTGAGAAGGCACGACTGGATCCCTAGGAACCGGGTTTTGTCGTGAGTGTTACTTGGTCCGCCCGGGCTTTTGGGAAACTACCCTCGACACACCTGTGGAGGAACTTCATCACCTGGAAGATCATTTTCCAGCTCCCCTAAAGGGAAGTTCGATGCTACGGGACAAAACTGAGGAATTCCTCTTAGCTTTGATTTTGATCCCGGCAGCTAGTCCGGATTGGAATTACCTACCAGATCATTGGTGTGGGTCAAAACCCTGTGACCCTGGTTGACCCCTGAAAATGTACTATTATGTACTATTTCTCTTCAAGGGATGTCAACCGATCCCATGGTTTGCAGGGTGAGGTTTTGACCCACAGCCATATGCCTGGCCCCAACTTCCATCTCGCCGCTTCGACATACCTGTCTTTTGTTCGGGTCATGCCCCCATTTTCTCAGGTATATAATCACAAACTGGAGGGAGGTACCCATCACCAGAACACCGCAGCTGTTGGATTCCACAGTTTCGGTGTGATGCGGAATCCAGCAGCTCCGCCGATGATCCGGCATGGCTGATACAACTGTTGCAGTCCACATGGCTAATGGCAAAACCGCCCTCTCAACAGGCATCCAGATCAGATCTGTTATTGACCTTAAACGTTAGTTAAGTTATATTTGTTTTTAGAAAAGTTGGAAGAAAAAGCAAGGATACGGTTTAGAGCAATTAATTAGTAAACCAAATCCAGCAAACCCTTACCATTACATTTACAACCACTTATTCATGCTCCAAACCCAAGCTACCCACACTTGCACTGCCTGTTTTCACGCCCGCGTCATATCAATCGCGCACCATCACGCAGTTCCTTCTGCCGAGCATTTAAGACCGCTATATAATTGTGGCGGGGAGGTCTTCATGTGGGAGATGGAACTGCACGCGAGAGCTCTATGAAGGGGCATGAAACGATGCCACTTAAAGAGGGCGAGAGTGAGGTCCAGCACCAAATAAAAGTGCTTCACAATTTTCCACAGCAAACCAGCACCAAACATACAAGTATGGTCACCTTGGGTCAAAGAATGAGGCCACCCCGAACATAGGTTTTTGCCCCTCGATGAAAAAGGACAGTACTTGGACCTGATCGCCCACGGAAGTACTCGAAGCGAGACTCATTCCGCTCTGACCATCGCACGGACCAAAACGGCCAGCTGCGCAAGGATCAGAGATAAACAAAACTGGGCCCCAAACACTGCAAGGGCGTGAAGGGTGATATTCCGCATATGTAGGTCAGTATTGGGCTCTCTATGGTAGTCCAATGTCTGTTGCTGGGGTAAGGCCGGCAAGCCTGGCAAGCCGCGAACAAAATCATGTCGTCAGTGGTTGAGTACTTTGAGAGTTGCCCAAACCAATGTGAGGGAAATGCTGTGTTACCTTGCGAATAGAGCCCCGCAGGCCTCATGGAAATCGTGCACGGAAAGACCATCCCAAAATGTACATCTTTTCAACCCCACCAATGCCTCCCATTCTTGGATCCGTGGCAAGAACTGCAAAGTCTGTGACATCCAGAATACGACCCTTAAGGCGTGCGAACTTCAAGTGCTCGACACATACTGTGCTTGCAAACGCGTTGCATGAACCCCAGTACCCAGACTGCTTCGAACAAGAGATTGGATCTTCTCAAGCACCCATCGCGTGTCGCCAGGAAGCATTTTTGGGCCCAGTGAAGCTGATATTGAGATGGAGCACTCCCGTTTGGGATTCCTAAGAGGCCCTTCACGCGCCAGCCGGGATGAAGAGCTTGTAAAGCCAATACAGTAGATTGATGTCATGTTGAACCCCTGGTCTTTTGCGCTTCCCCTTGTGGAAAATCTGGATCCCCCACAGTGACCACTGAAAAGTGGTTGCTTGATGTTCTTCCGTAATGACTTCCGTGACGATGGTGAACAATCAACGTCAATTCAACAGGCAGTTTGGTGTTCGAGGCAAAGCAAGTTGCTGGTTAAAGGTTTATCAAAGGCGTCCTGGGGCCCTGGGGTCCTGGGGAGGGCTTACCTGGTTCAAAAAGCTGTGGTTAAACTTGGGGTTGAGTTGAAACCCGAGTTTGTGCATCCAAGTGCTCACCTTGGGGTCATCTTCGAGGGAGCGTTCTTAGTTATCATTTGAAAGCATGAATCCCTCCTGTGCAAGGCTTATCCAAGGCTCATGTTGCAAAGAATGCATGAAACAAAGTAAAAACAAAACACCTCCTGCCCTGCTGATTTCCCTTTATCCCGGGCTTATCCAGGCTTCTCCAAAGGTTGCCAAAACAACACTTGTGGGCCGTGCCAGGCCGTCTGTTCTCACTCAGTGAAGCACAAATGTCTGAGACCAAACAGGCATATCAAGCCTGAATCATTGATAGCAAAGAGTCCTGTGATGTCAACATCCCCCCTAGCACTCTGTGATCCTCGCTGTGAAATTATAGAAGCACTAACAAATTTGTAGCAGTTTGACCCAAGGCTCCCTTTTTGAACCTCGTTGGAAAGGGTTTTGACACCTGCCCTCTGACACCTCACCGAACCGTTTGCTCTATACGAACCGACTGACACGAACCGGGTGAAACGGAGATGTTAGTTTTCACCGGTCGATCTCCGGTGGGAAAAGATGCTCCAGAGCGGGGCAGGCTAGTAGCTATAGAGCATGGCCCCTTAAGGGCTCAAAGTATAGCCATCTTGAATCAAGGGTCCTGGGCCAAATCCGGTGGACCAGGGTTTGGGAAGGTTTTGAACATGTTGAAGCAGGTACCCCCACGAAAGGAACATGGGTCAAACGCTGCTCGCAGCAAAAAAGGGTGATAGATGTGATACTGGAGGAACCATGACGCAAAGCTCAGAGCTCTGTTTTTCCAATTTGGGAGGATGATTCTAGAATTGGAGTTCCTTTGTCCCAGACTCAAATTAAACATGCTTCAAACCTTTGAAAAGGATAGCCCCAACAAAAGCCATGCTTCAAACATCTTCGGACTACAAATTCAACCCTCTTTCACTGGAGATCTAGTTACTGCCATCTTCCACATCCATCAAGTTAACCGAAGAAGTCTTATTCTTTCGACCGCATCAACCATCCAACTCCGGACAAAAACTTCAAGGCATCCAAGGCGACAGCGGGTTGCCTCCGGTGGCTTCCAAACGGAGCCTTCGAAGTCTCAGAGCGTACCTGAAACCCCCCTCCGTTCGGGGATAGCAGGTGGGCGAAATTTGGCTCCTCTTCCTCTTGTTTGGTTTCCTGCGCCTCTGGTCAAAGTTCTGTCATCCTCTTCCTGCTGGCATAGCAGCTAGGATTCACAACACGACCAAACCTGCTGCCAGGACAGGCTCCATGAGGCTCCAAGTGGTTCCTTTTCACGCCCTCACCACCGGCGTTCCGGGGCACGGAACGGGACGGGAGCTGAACGAGACCGAACGGATCGGCGGCGCTCTCAGTGGTTGGAGGTAATCCAGTTCGCTCTGAACTTTCTGATGCGGATCTGTCTCCTGACTAGGCCACAAAGCCCTGAAGAGCGCCCTCATGAAGTAACAAGGGCCGAAAGTGAGAGTCGTATTCCAGAGAAGGCGAGAACAGCAAATCTGACAATGCTGGCCGAAATTGGCTCTGGGTCAGTTTCGCCGAAGCTGCCAGGCCTTTCCAAAAATCCTGGTCGGCGTCCTGCGCGCAGCTGCGGGCAATTTTGAACATATGCCCCACTTGTCATCCTGCGCTGAACCCATGATGGACTAATCGAAGGCAAACATTGAGCGTTCGTGGCGTTCTTCTTCATAAGTGGCCTCTCTCATGCCAAGAGTGCGCCGTCTTGTTCCACCTCTCAAGAAATTCTTGTTCATTTTCCACGAAGAGTACCGGCAAAAGGTCAAGCACCACCTTTATTTGATAGGGTACAGCACGGTACAGCACTGGTACAACATTTTACATCATATTTTACTCTTGAGCCTTCGGGATGGCATGCGGAACCGAGGCGAACCCAACAATGCCTTGTGCCCAGTACGGCACGCCGGTGTCCTCGGTGTAACGCAACCACTTCTGCCCGCATGGCGTCCTTTGCACACAATCGGCCCAACAAGAGTCCTGAAGTACAGAATTCAAGCCTGCAAGGGCCATTTCATCTGCATTCAGCTTGTGTCTCTTGCCCGGTAGGCGTGCCACCTGCCACTCGAAATCGGGTGACTCCTAACCCCTGGGCGGTGGGCCGTCGCGTCGCGCGTGCCCGATCCAGATCCCTGCTGGAAGCGGAGCTGTGGGTGTTAGGATGGCGAAAAACGCGTCCCGAGTCCCGAGTGAACTGGGTTTTCAGTCCTTGGAGCGCCGAGACGACCATGGCCACCTTGTGCTGCAGCTCTCCTTGTGCCTCGGCGAGCGCGCGAAGCCGGCACCGTTCGTGAAGTGAGAAGAAGCCAGGCACTGTCACGGGGGTCTAAGGGGGCACTACATAATAGGTATATAGCTAGTACATGCTAGTACATATAGGTATAGCAAAGGGGTCCCGAAAGTGAGAACAAATTCCAAGGGCTGGGTCAGCCCCATGGGCTTGGCTTTTCGATGCTTTGACATGAATCATCA